TAAGCTATGCCAAACAGTTATAAAAAGAAAAAAAAACTCGAAAGACGGGATTATTTGGATTACGACAGAGCAAATTATTATTACTAAGATTACTTATATAAGGGAAGAGATACCTTCATGGAGAACTTTCTAAGGAATATTGGCTTGTATTCATGTTATGTAAAGAAATCGCTGAGAATACGACAACTTATGAATAAAATTCACTTATTTTCATATAGCAATTCATCATTGGTTTAAAATCGTAATAATGGTTATAAGTTCAACATTAAATATTATTTCGTATAGTAATTTTAAATATTCTTGTTAATGTAGCATTTTATTTTATACACATTGTTACGTCATAATGAAAATTACGTATATAATGCAAATGATTAATTTAAAATGATTTAATAGTCTCTTCATGTTTGTGTTAAAACCATATCTGACATAAGCGTTTGGAAGCATGTACATTTTAGGGACTTAGAAAAGTCGTCGATGAAATGTTGCCTATGAAATCGTACACTGAGCTAAGTGGCCAAAAATAGGCTCACCATAACAACTTATAGTTCTACCTTTAGCTTCGGTAGCAGCCAATATTCTTCTGGGTATGGACTCAATAACGTATAGATATCGTTTCTGAGGAATATATTAGCCTATGCTGATTGGCAAGTTTAATTTCATTTAGATTAAATAGTGGAATTTCCAAGCGTTTAAGTGATCATTACCCTTTGTCCCATAAATGCTTCATACGATTCAGGTCACAGGAATTAGCTGGTCATGGAAGCAATTCGAACTCAGAACTATGCTCTTCCAAACTTTTTAAGACTAATCATGCAAGTTGATAGAGAAGTAGGATTATCCTCCTGAATGTGATGATTTGCATACGGAAGCATGCATCCATAAACAAGTGTACATGATCGGCGACGATCGACAGGTAATTTGTGGTGCTAGAGATTTGCTTTCGAATGTTTCAAGGGATTCACTGTACTCTCGAAACATATTTCCTGAACCTCAATTCCAGCGTCACCAATTCGAAGAGTTGTCATCAGTCATGAAAGGACCACGAATTCGTTCAATTTGTACCATATTATGAGAACCTATTATCTGCATGATGGAACAGAAAATGAAATTGATCGGATCAAGTACCACTTTTTCCAGTGGTTAAGAGTCCAGTTTTGGCGCTTCTGTTTCCGCAGCAACTGTGATTTCCTGTTTTTCAGTGATATCATGGGCACCTTTGAATGTTTGCTGCTGTTGAATCACATCCGCTGCAAAGTTCGTCATGTTGTGATTTTGGATATGCTTTGTGATGCATCTGATTTGAACTGTGCTGTAATTTGGCCTGCTGTTGCTTTTCTGTTGCTGCGGAGGATCATTCCAGCCGAATTTCACTTCTTTCTTTCATCTGCATTTCCCGAGAAGAAATTAGCACGAGAAAAGCCTAGAATATAATGATTTCAGACATACTGAAATCCATTCTTTTTGCACCAACGATACTCCCGGTTTTAATTCACTCAAATTTTCCATCTCAACAATTTTCACGTTAATCACAGAAATAATTATTTCTTTTCGAGGCCAGCGTTCTTTATATATAGGCTTACCGAAATGTTTTTTTCTCAAACTGGGACAATTCCGAGAAAATTCTCACAACAGAAAATGAAACTTATAAGGAAAAGTAATTATGACTGAAACGTGATATTTAATAAATAAAGGTAACAGACAAAATGTAAAAAAACGCCCCTTTGAACGTAATTTAAAATCTGAAACCTTTCAGATTTTTTTTTAATAAAATTTTATTATTATAGTCTTTTCTTCCAAGAACCGGTTTTATTTTTCCTTTTTTCCCCCCTTTCAAATTATACATTTTCAACTACTGCCTTAATTATTTTACCTGATTCCTCCGTTTCAAAAGCACATTGTATAGAAATCCCAATATTATGTTAATGAGGACTAATAAAAAGGAAATCTTAAGGCATGAGGAACAAAATGAAAGAAAAGACGAAAACACGCACAAGAGCTGAGTCATTTATTTTAACACCGTAAGGCATAATAGCAAATATCATGCCTGGCGAGAAATATGTAAAAAAATGGTTTTCATAATTCTTAAGTTATTATCTTATGTTCTGATCTTTATGTCAGATAACATATTAGTATATTAATTCCAGATGTCGAATCACAATATGAATATAAATTCTGAAAATAAATTTTTCATCGATGATAATTATTAGTACCGAATAACTAAAACGTGAATACTGAACTTTTCAAACAAGATTAAAAAAAATTTTTTTAATGTTAAAATGCGTTCTTACATTCGTTAGTACTTGGCCGCAACACTTGTTACTTTTATTTTTGCTATTGCCACACAGAGTGTTTCTGAATTGCACTTTTCTGCGCTAAAAAGGTTAATGCCATTAAAAGGAGTTAAAGACATCAACCATGTGCATGGAAAGAGAAGACAGAGAAACAAACTTCCGCAATTCTCAGATTCAACAGATAAAAAATTAGTTAAAAACATGATTCATAAATTTATTTCTTCAAAAATGGCCAAGTTGCTTTTCTCAAATCAGGAAGCACTTTTTTTGAGGGGGGGGGATGTCGACCTTTTCAAACGTCGACACTGCTCGTTATGTTCCATTGTCTGTCAACATAGTTCTTATATCTTCAATCACTGTCAGAGAAAAAAACGTGCACCATATTTCACGGTTACTGTCGCATTCCTAACTCCTCTTCTTTCTTTTTTTCTTTTTTTCAGAGAAAGACACAAACATTTGTTCTTAAGCGTGTATTTATTATTAAATAGGACTTAAAGGACTATTCTAGATAGGACGTTAAAGGACTATTATGGATTGATTTAACAAGAAATTATAAAAATATAGTTCCTTCCAACGATGCAAATAAGTAATCACATCAATTCTGGAAAAACAAAATTCGCAGAATTCAGAATAAAAATCGACTTTAAGTTATATACATATATATATATATACATACACATTCGTGTGCAAAATTCAGAAAATTTGCAAATTAATTATGTCTATTTTTAGGAAAAGTACTGAACAAAAAGGTATTAATTATTTCGCCAAAAAATTATGCAAACATACAGAGTCGAATATGCACCACTGTGATTGTGGAGGGGATATAAGCGCACGACGGGTTTAGGTAATTTGGGGGTGAGTTCGTATTCTTTCATGGCATTAGCCAGTTGGGTGAATTATATAAGGTGTCAGGTAAAATGTGTAGCCGTGAATGTAAGGATGACGGAACGGAGAATTGTCGACGGATTGCAAGCAGGTCAATCACAAGCGCCGGTGGCTACAGAGCTCAATGTAACGTCTGCTCAGTGTCGTCTGTTATTTGTGGAAACAGTTTCAGGACTGTGGATTCCGTACCGAGAAAGCCTGGACAAGGTCGACCAAGATGCATAAGGGCGGATGAGGATCGTTATTTACCACTTCCAGCGCAGAGAGACAGGGCAGCATACAGCTTATGGAGAGCTGTAAAGCTCTCCCATAAGCTATATGCTGCCACTAGAACCTGAGTTTCACGGTCTTTAGTTGCCCAAGGCTTCATGAGATAGCGCTGTATGCCAAAAAACAAGCTGTCTGCGTCCCACTCATTACAGCACACAAGAGAATGCATCTGGTATGGCTCAAACAACATGCGCTTGCACCAGACTTCAGTAGAACCACGTACTTTTTCAAATGAGTGAAATTCAGCCTGGGCACCGATTCTCGGCGTATTTTGAGCCGGGAGGCGCTTGAAACATGATACCATTCCTCCTTTATTAGGGAAAAGGATCATTTCAGTAGTGGAATGTCATTATGTTGGATACATGTAAACCCCTACGTGTATTTCACAAAGGCTCCCTGACTGCCATGGGAATATGTTAAGAGCCCTACGTTTGATTTTTCAGAGATTTAGATAGTCCTGGGTTTCTGCTAAAGGACAACAACCCTCGTCCACATAGGGCTGAGCTGGCGACGATTACTTGGAAGGTAAGGATATTCGACGCGCGGATTGTCTAATCAGATCTCCTGACCTTTACCATACACAGAATATCTGGGATGTTCTTAGCAGGGCAATTTCATCTCGCCACCCCCCTCCGACAACCATGCCGTATTTGAAACTGTCTTGTTGCAGGAGTGGGATCGACTGCCACGAGAACTCCTCTACTGCCCAGGGACGGATCTAGACTTGATGAGGCCCTAGGCTACTTGAGATATGGGGCCCTTTCTAAGTTTGTTATACTACATTTTAATACTATATTCATAATATATTTTAATTTTTTTTGGGGGGGGGCTAAAAAAAGTGGAGGCCCTAAGCTATAGGTTGTACGTAAAATCCTGCAACTGCCTCCTGTCCAGTATGCCATCACGCTGCAAGACGTGTCTGGCTGGGAGATGGGATATTGAGGTATTTGGTCTCATTTGGTACCGTTCTTCAATATTGAGTCCCTATTGAGGAACGGTACCAAATGAGACTTAATTTTCAGTTCGATATCACATCGTGGATTTTTAACATCTCCCTATCTATGAGCTTCACTGATAATTATGCATAAATAAAATGACTTCTCTGAATAAAATGATACTTCTCCGTCTCTGTTATAAATGTATATTCGTGCGAAATTTTATTAAACTCTGTCTATTAATGTTTCATAAATCTGATATAATGTGCAAATTTTCTTAATTTTGAGGACAAGTGTATATATAGGTTTTCAGAACAGTTATAATTCTAAATTTTACTAGCATATTAACTTACAAATTAAAAGAAGAATACAGCAGTTTCCAATTTTACAAGTTAATTGAGCTATGAATGCTAAACACTTTATGTTCTCCTTGTAATCATAATATCACATAGCTTTTAAAAAGTTAAATTTATATGAGGGTAAGCACAAATTAAAATCATTAAGGATTTCTGTACATTACAACAGTGTTTTTGGTGTGTGTCATACGTAAGTAATCCAACTGCATTACATATTCAACATAATAAAATATATAAAAGGCAATACTATGTGAAACATTTACCTTTTCTAATTCTAATAAATGAAACCTCAAAACTTGTATTGCTTGAACCATCTGAAAAAGGGAAAAAAAAGAGAAAATAATATATGAAAATTATGGAACGTTTCTTAAAGCAGTAGAAATATACAGTTCAGTCATTAAAAACATAATTTCATAATATTAAAAGATAAATTCAACTACTTTACTTACTTAGGTTTCCTCTGGTACACAATGTAATTGTTTTAATTAATTAATTTTTTAATTTGCATGCTTAATTTCGAATTCCATTTCCTTCAATAGTTATGATGTACTTGAAATATTTTTCCTTAAGTTTGCTTTGGTAAGTGGCTAAGCCTTCAGAAGGTTACTACATAGTCATTCAATGCGCCACTTTTTGCACATTCATATACGTACTAGTTACTGTACATTCTGTAGTTTATAGTATTTTAATGCGGTAAATTAATATATGTTCAAAGCTTTGATACACACATTAATTAATAATATATCTTTACTTAAGTAACGGTTAATTTTACATTCCTATAGGTGAAAGATATTTTTTCTTTAATGACTAGTATAGTTTTAATTTTTCTGATATAAAAATGATCACGAAGAAACTGCAAATGTATTGAATTCAAAGTTTAAATTAATAAGCAAACTCTTCGGAAAAAAATATTGTTTCAATTAGAGATTCAACAATTTCCTTTGTCAAGACGAAGTTATTACATGTGCGGTTACTAGAACATGTCCTTTTTTTAATAACTTCGAAATAGTATTTGATGCTTACACAGAGGAAGAAATATTTCTTTTAATACATCTAATTTAATTTAAGACTTTTTTTTTTTTTTTTTGCTAGATAATGAATATTTTCGAAAGTTTTTATAGTTAGAATTTTCTATATTTATTTTAGTTCATTACTGTCAATTAATCTTTTAGAAAAAATCCCTTTTAAAAACTTTTAATAGAAACTTTAAACAAGTATTTTAAAAAAAGTTTTCAAGTAAATTGTTAGGTAACTCCGGCAAAAAAAAAACAAACAAATGCTAGTTTATTATGATGTAGACAGCATTTAGAACACTGGCAAAAATTTATTTCACAGTGCTGTTAATTTACAAAGGCTGTTAGCACATTTTTAGACGATTTTCCTTGTATTTACATAAATATTTTACCTAAACCTTTTGTGTTTTAAATGTTCCATTTGATAACCCTTATTCTTCATTTTCTTTCTGCATCGTAATTTCGAAAACAATAGACCCTTTTGCAGTGTCGGAAGACGTATTTAATACCATTCCTCTTTGTACAGCTATAAAGTATTTCTCCCGCCTTCCTAGCGTGCCTTCGTGGTGTAGTGATTCTGCACGCTGGGAATGTTTCATCTCTCCGGCTTTTCCAATTAACCTAATGTCTCTACACAGCTTCTCAAAGTCCAAGGAGGGTTGAAGGTCGACGTTTGGACAATTCGCTTTTTAAAAGTCGAAAAGGCAAAAATCCATGGGGAATACATCAAAATATTTATTAGGGATATAAGTGAAGGGTTATGGACTTGATACCCGTTTCTTGTTCCATTTTTTTCTGGGAAATTAACAGTTGATTTTGCCGCGTAGCTTCTTGATGCAGTTCCACTGACTGATGGCACTGTGGGTAAAGAGAAGGTATTTCATATTTGAAAACTAGGTATCATATATGTTCCTGATAATATGTGCAATTGATCTTAACACTTTTCTCCACTGTCTTTATTTTTAATTTGTCATTATGTGAAAAACCAACAACATAAAAAAAATCCTTTTGAAAACTTTTCTCTAGATTCTTTGAACCATGTTTTAAGATTTTTTCCCCTCCTCATTGATGATAATAATGGACCTCTTATTGCAATCATTTAAATACACCCAAGATTTATCTATTATTACAAAATTTTTCCAAATTTGTCCGGATTAAATGTATCTTGCGTTCGGCGATTTTTCGTGGAGAAAGACGATGCACATTATATTTTTTCGTCTTTTTTAAGATTTATATCAGCATTAATTCCCTTGTTTACAGGTAACTCTGAACATTTCAATGATTTCGCAACTGTCTTTTGACCTTCGCGGATTTTATTTAATATTTAAAGATCTTATCTTTGCAACATTCGAAACATTCCGATCTTCCTTGCGTTCGTATTTGGAACAATCTCTCTACCTTAAAACAAATTCTGACGTTTTTTTCCTTTCTTGTTGACAATATTATCTATCGTAGCTTTAGATATCGAAAAACCAAGCTTTCACGGTGTTTTGTAATAACTAAATATGAATAACTTTCTTCGGAAAGACCACAGACATAGCTTCCAACCATCGCTTCATGCAAAACCACCAGTTTGCATGGAAACAAAATTGTCAAGTAGCAGATGATAGTTAATACTTTCAAAAATATAGCTACAGTTAAAAAGCAAATTTCCAAGCAGGCGAATTTTTTTAGAAAACAAAAACGTCTAAAAATGTGCGAATAATCTTTGCATTTACTAACAAAGCCCAATGGAGAGAAAACGTCTGGGTTGGAGAGAGATGAGAAACTTAGGGAGATTCCTTTCTTTTTTCTTTTTTTAATGATTTAACGAGTATTCAAAGTACAGAATTCTAATTCTTGGAACCTGCGATCGTGCTGCAAAAGTGAGAATTAAATAACAACCCGAATACTTTACCTACCCGAAATAATCCTAGTTTCTAATTGCATATTAAATAATAGTGCTCTCTAAAACAAACCCGTCTCTTCGTGGAGCACGAAAGCAGAATTACAAGCTGTTCAAATAATAAGCACCTCGTAAATGATCGCGCGCAATGCAACAACTGCAAACAACTCATTATCCGGCCATAATCGTTCTTCCAAAAAAGAACGCTATGATAATCGAGTGGAGTTGAGCGGTTTCTATCCCTCTTTTCCGTGATATCCTTAAAAGCAATATCCCCGGAAATGAAAACTCATCAGAAAGCACAAATTATGCTTTCAATTATCCATTTTTACTTCTCGCGCCGGCCCAGAGGCGTAGTTTAATTAACAAATAGAAGCTCGCGGCTGTGCCGTTTTACGGAACGTTTCGTTGGTTGCTCGTTTCCAATGTTTCTTTGTTCTTAATGTTTGGCGCGGGAAAACTGCTCAGGGAATTGGGTAATTAAAAGAACAGAGGGATTCGTACCTACACGAAACATTACGCAGAAGTTCCACAAATGAAACATGTGGTGTGTTCGTCCTCCTATTAACCTTTTTCTATTTCTATTTTTTTGCCTCTCTCTCTTCGCGTTTTGTCTATTAATATTTTTCTTCCATTTAATTATTTGGATTCATATTTTTATTTACTGCATTAACTTACATGATACAGCTATTTTAATCTTTGTTCTAGTCGTTTCTGCAGAAATTATTTTGAAATTTGTGTCAGAATTTTTACAGCAATTTGTAAAATTGCATTTTTAACAAAACATCGTACATGTATGGCAGTAATTGTTCCTAAACCACAATTTCAAGAAGCTATAATATAGCTATAACACGAAATTTTTAATAATATAATTATTATTTTCTATTTTCTTTATTTCTTTCTCTTTTCTAAATATTGATATGCTGTGACAGGAACTGAAAATATCCACAGTAAAGAACTTCTTGTTCAAGTAATGAATGACAATACTCAACAATATTCTAGAATATTTTGCAATTTGATAACCAATCTGCAAAAATAAAAAAATCACACCATAATTTAATTCAAAAGTCTTATAAACATCCCGACACATTTTCTGATGCTCTTGCTAGCAGTAATTAATTCGGCGAAACTAGTTTTCAATATTCATTTTTTTATTATGAATTAAAACATTACATCACTTATGGGAAAAAAACTGATTCTAATATTTCAAAATATAAATCAGACATTGAGGATAAATCACATGCTCATAAGGAACAAAAATATGGTCATAACTGCGCAAACTATGCTAGCAGAACACATACACATGATTAATTTGTCACAGTTCATATTTAACAGATATACACATAACATTAAAAATGCTTTTATAAGAATTAAGAATGTCATTTACTTCTATCAAAAACAATAATAATCTCCATAAGAAGTCAACTATAACAAAACAATTTTGGTTAAAAGTGTAATTATTACAGATTTCAGGGAGTTATAATGTAAACTAGAAACTAGGTCTAATCTGTGCAATATACCTAATTAAGTTAAAAAAATCATCATCAGCTAATTTTAAGCACATATATTATGCGCTATTCTTTTATAATTTTTTAAAATTATTTCTGAAAAAAACTCCACTTTAATACTATTACTACAGGCCTGCAATGAAGAAACTTTTGAAGATTTTAGTTATTCTTAATGTTATTTCTGACATGAATTAAAAAATGCTATTACAAATTATGCAACGAATATTACTATTTTATTATAAATCATACGGTTTTGCACATTTCCAAAACATCATTGTGGTGAGTATCTTCGTATAAATAATAAGATTTGAAATCACTTCTCATGTATATAAAATTATAAGCTCAATTATCATGAGTGGAAAAACTGTGTTAATAGTAAATAAATCTTAAAATACTGAGCATTATTTTTTGGTGAGAATAATACTTATGTTTAATTCCCATGCTTCATAAGCAGCAGTAAAAGTTAACAAGAAAGAATTGGAGAGTGGTAAAAGAAAAGAAAAACATTCCTTGCCAAAAACCTCTTTAAACATGTAGCAAAATATTTTACTTCAAGACGTTGCAAACATAAAATTCTTTTCCCATCGCTTTTTAGATGTTTATGAAGGTATTGATTAAAAGCCATACATTTAAGAAAATGTCTCTCCTATCAGAAATCAAGCAGTAGGGAGAACATTTTGTCACACTAGGCACTGAGAAAATCAGAGAAAAGTACAAAATTTGAAGCTACCATTATTATATCTGAACATGTATGTAATTCTAAAAAGCTATGTAATCTGAAAAGATATGTATATTTCAAGAATTTAACGTAAATTGCAATATATCGCAATAAAATTGTAAGTGATATTGTACTTAAAGTCTCTCATATAAAATGGCTCCCCCAAACTATAATTCCAGCATACGTTTAAAGAACGCTTTTAGAAACTTAATTTTGCAGGCCTGTGTAATAGTTAACTTAAAATTTCAATACGATTTTTACAAGCTTGTTTTCAGAATGCTCTTGAAAAAGTTTTATACTTTCAGGAATTTAGTTTAAAACATCATCATAAGGGAATATAAAAAGTACTTTTAAGGTTTCTGGTAACATATAAAAATAATATCATTTTCGAGGAATGAAATGTAATCATAACAACATCACTTACTGGTGACTGAAAATTCCCTTTATTATTTAATAGAATCAGAATTTATTTACACTATTGAAAATTTAAACAGCATTGTTAAATTCTTTGGTAGATAAATTTAGTTTCGGTATATTAAAATTAAATAATGATATCAAAATTTTCGAAATAATGTAAACTTTCTCTCTATTTTTATTATTTATTTATTTATTTATTTATTTTTAAGAAAGCTGCTTCTAAAAATATAATTTTGCTCTTTGATTTAATTACTATTTTGACTCAATTATTTTTAAGAATTTGAAGAAAAAGCTGCATTTTAAAACAATCCCTCTAGATCGAAACTAGATAAAAAGATTCTGAATAAAAAAGGCCTTTTAATATTTATAAATAAATAAACATTAATTTTGCATTAGAAAAGTACAGTTTCTTAAATTTGAATATACTAAATGGAATAGCTTGTAAATTGATTTATACAAGAGAGAAATTAATTTAAAACATATTCTAATATAGTTTGAAGTTTTTAAATTATTTGCATACTAACATTAATAAAATTTTCTCTGTTTTACAATTTTTTTTTTTTTTTTTTTTTTTTTTTTTTTGCAATCCACTATGCATAACGTAATAAAAAGATGTTTAGATGAAATTTAAATACATTAATATTTTTAAAGGCCTAAAATCTTTAATCAGAAGTTCATTACGAGAGTGAGAATCTACACGTACCCTGTCCTTACAACAACATAAAATAAGTCAATACTTACAAGACTGTCTAATTCAGGGTTGGGTGAGTAATAGGGTTTTTCTTGCCTAATCTGTAAAGTAACACAAAAAATGGACATGAGAAAAGCAGAGAAAAAGGAGACTTGATGTTCAATACTTACAAGAGTATCTAACTCGTCGTCGGAAGAGTACTGAGGATTTTCAGCCAATATCTGAAAGGGGAGGAGATAGAGTAAAAAACCCGCGAGAGAAAGAGATGTAATTTTATTGAGGAAGCGGTTCCCAACGTAGCATTTACTTATTATACAAAGATAATTTTCTCCTTACTTTATTGATATTTTAATATATATGTGCAATACAAAAAATTTCGAAAAAAAAAAGCAGCAATAACATCAAAGGTTTCTTTTGTAAATGCTATCATAAATTTGAATATTGGGAAGTCATTAAAATTATATTAGAGATCAAATATTTGACAATTTTGTTGTTGGGAACCACTATAAAGGGAGAAAAGCGAAAAATACACAGACAGATATTTTAGTGACGCTTCCTTAAAAAGATTCGGCAATCATTCCATTTTTTAATGTTTAAAAAAGAATTAATAGAAAACCAGATAAAAATAAAGAGAGATTTTTTTCAGATTTATCTGCTTTTATTAAAGAAGAAGTACAATATAATTAACGTAGAATTTTTCTGTTTAAAACCAGCCTTTTCATTTAATAAATTTATATCTAATTATTGACAAAAGTTAATTTTCATAACATGAATTAAGATAACTGTAGAGAGGATTATAATTCAAAGGAACTCTTTATTATAGTTAAACCAAATTAAAAGTATTCAAAGATATGAACAAAATTCTTTTTAGTTACATTTACGAATAAAATTTTTTGTCATAATAGTTTAGTAATTAAGTATACAACATTTTGAAATTGAAAAAGAATTAGCCACAAAACTAAAGGAATTCATCACAAGATTCTAAATAATGTATAAATTAGTTATAACAGTTAGCAAATTTGTACATATAATAACTATAAACTCATAGTATTGCTCCCAAATATTTATTTGCACACCAAAATTTACGTTTAAATACACTTAAAAAACAAAAATTTTCTAGTGAAAAAAACTGTTAAAACTTATATACTAAATTAAATGCTATATAAAATACACTATGAAAATTTGAGACTAATTTCTCAACTTTAAAAGTATAAAATAATGTTCGATAGAGCACTGAAATTCTAAATTTCTTACCTTAATAAGTATACACAAAATAACATTTAACTGGCATATGAGAAAAAGAAATGGAATGACTGCTCTATATAGATACATATAAAAGAAGAATATTGCAAGCCAAAAGTTAAATGGAAAGTCGTGCTTAAAAGGTAACCTCAGTATTGTTAGCACAAACAAAACTATTAAAAAAATTAGATCATAAAAAAATTCATACCAAAAAAGCTTTGAACGTTTTTGAGATTATATAAGCATTCAATAATAATATAAAAATAATGAAAAGTGCACATAATAATCATTGAAAATTAGATAAAACAAAATAATTCAAATATTAAGTTATTATTTATTAAACATGATAAAAGGTTTCAAGTATAATAGCAAATCAGCGAACACATGCAATGCAATAATAAATACTGAGTTGATGAGCAATTTTAACATTTATTTTTTAAGATGATGCACATTATGTATAATTACAATTTTTAAAAGGTATAACATTTATGCTTTACTGCATATAACACTTACAGATAAATATATGTAATACTCTGATTTCAGACATATTCGTTTATTAAGATGTGTTCAGAACTGAGGTTTGAAAAGAAAGACATTTTTTAGACAATACTACATTTTTATTAAGAGAACAAGTATGTTGCTCTTGTTTGACACTAGTATTATACCTATTGGAAGCAGAAAAAATATTTTGTATTGCTGATTCTAGACAGTTAAATACGGCGAAGTATATAAAGGCTAGACGTCTTTAAAAAACAGCCATTATTGACAAAAGAATTCGTTCCTTGCTATGAAAACCCCCATTTCATAATTGATTTATGGGAAAAATGAATAATTTTAAAAGAAATTATTATTTAACTGTACTCTCAGCCGGTAGTACGTCTGCTACAAAATCTAAAATTCGACAATAAATAAATGAAAACGTCAAGTTTTTCGGAAAGAAGCCAATGAATAACAACTGACGAAGAAGACCCATTTGATTCTGTCGTTTTCTTCCAATAGAGATTTGGTTTTATTTTCCATGTCAGTAATATAGCATTAAAACTTTTTAAGTTCAGCTAAATATAAAAGTGAATGTAAGCAATAAATAAATTAAATCTGCTTCACTAATTTATTAGTATTTTTTTAACATATTATAACTTATATCTCGTTACATATGTAATTATTCAGTAATAGCAATTAAAATTATTAGTTAATTAGAGGACTTTAATCTAATAAACTGTAACTATGAAAATGTACCTTGACGTTTTATGAAACTACCTTCCTTTGCAAAAAAAAAAAAAAAAAAAAAAAAAAAAAAAAAAAAAAAAAAAAAAGCAAACGCAATATGTTGCAAAAATATCCCAAATAATTCATCTGCTATCTTATATTCCATACTGTTTGGAAAAAATGTACCTTCTTTTCTTCAGTTCAATTAAGGAAAACCTAAAATTGAAGGGGAAGGAGAAGTTTAAATAAACAAATGCATCTTAAATGAAACTTAGAACCAGAAAACAAAAACCTTATGAACAAAACTAAAATGGCAAATGGGTCAAGAATAATTTTCTTTCTGGACGCTTAAATTTATTTATTTTCAATGAAATTTTAATACGAAAAGCAAATCATTTAAGTACTTTTTCCGTAAAATTTATGTCAGTTTTAATAACCCTTATGCCATTTCGCCTAACTACACTCAAAATATGCACAAGAAATTCATTTCAGAAAAGAATTTTCAGAAAACTTCAGAAATTTAAGTTTATGGTTACAGTTATTTAGAAATGCATGGTGCAGTTAAATGCACGGATGTTCTTCATTCTTCGATTCGTGTACTGGAGTCAGTCCAATTCAATAAATTATCAGAAATTACCTCTTATAATATACGCATAGGGAGGATAATGGGTTATAAAAATGCTCTTTTAATTGCCTATTTTATTTATAGCATTCAATACAAATGATATCTTTTCGTCTCTTCTCTCCTTGGGCTATCGAATAAAGAACTAAATCTGACAAACTAGGAAATTTTAAATTTAAAGATCATTTTATCATTATGATATCACTATAAAGAAATGTGTTTCATCTTAGAAATCTGAATATGATTTAAGACGTTTAGACATTAATTAATATGTATGTATGTTTTTAAATAAAATTATTAACAGGTCATCTTGCTGAACTACTGCTCGTTTAAAATAAGATACCTTTCCTAAGATTTGAATTTTGTGATAGCAACAGAATCGTGTATGTATTTTTAAAATGCGTTTTCCTAGCTCATTTCAAGAGAAAAAGTTTAATTCCCATGTATTTAAAAATATAATACGGCTTTTGAATTTTATGTACACTTAAATATTTTGTTTGACTGCAATTGCTAGGAGGGAAAAGCAAAATGCAGATCCGATGATTGCGTGACCACATCTCATTCCTGTATGCTCATTAAAATACAGGTAGCGCTGTACGCTGCACTGTTACAATCAATAAGAACATCATCGATTCTATTCGCATACTTCAATATCGGTCTTTTCTCGCGATTAGAGCAAACAAGCCAAATTGATTTAAAAGTGGTAGTTATAAATGATATTACAGAAGGATAAGTAATTACGACGAATGGACTTTTCATAATTTAATTTTGTTTACGGTACAAGGCTAGGTGCTTGTTACAAAACATTGTGAAATGTACCCAAATATGCATTTTGTTAATTCAAAAGTGTATAAAAGAACTGGTGTTAACATTTAAAAAAAAGTGTGAATTAAATATTAAAATTTCTGTTATAAAGTTCGGATTAATGTCGGGGAAATGATGTACAAGCTTATTTAGTTTATTTACCATCTAAACATTCTATTCCACACGATTACTGATCTGTGTATTGTCAGTTAAACAGAAAGTTCCTGACAGTGATAGGAAACTATATTCCTCAGAATACATTATGTTAAACCAAAGCATTGTATTTCTGTTGTAAATAAATTAGGAGACAAAAACCTGCGAAGATAACGAGTTTAGTTAGTAAGCAATAAGCATTAAAAAAGGTATAATTTGTAACTTTTCTATTCTACATTATATAATAAATAGGTAATAAGTACGCTGTTTATTTTCTTTAAAATGAGCCTTTCAACCTTTTTTTTTTTTTTCAATAAAGAACTCTTTTAAACTTTGAATTTAAATAGAGTCATTATTAGAAAAATAAACATTGCAATAAAATAGTTAGTCAACTATTAAATACTTATTATTATTTGTTATTTTTAGCCTACAAGGGTTATTAGTTTCGAAACGGGATTTTTCGTTGAATTGCTATAAATGTGACGTTTCATTTCCATTCGAGTCTGTTGCCATTGAATTAAATTTAAGATATTTATCTTTCAGATTCAGTCTGTTTGTCGTGGACTAAGAAACTAAGCTTTTTGAAGACAACAGAACTTCTTAAGAATATTCGTTTCTTACTTTTCAATCCGATTGATTTAAATAATAAAAATGCATTTAATTCATTATTCGTCTGATTAAAAATATTCAATATTTTCATTGATGACGTTATATGTTATTATTATTATATATTTTGTAAAACTTTAAATAATTTTTGATTAACAAACTCAACGATTTGAAAGACAGCAGCGGCAACACTGTACGGAATAAAATATTTTTATCTCCAGTATGCGAGACTGTCTATCGGAAATTTTAAAAATAGGCTGTTTCTATACATTTTGTGATTTTCCTGTTGAATTTAATTTTATATAGCGTAAGTTCGAAGCAATCGATATTTAAGTTCACACGCAAAGAGTTAATAATAAAAGGACAGAAATAGTTTTCCAAGCCAACTTACTAAGAAAACTGAGCATTGATATGACGAACTAAGAAAAGACTGGGGGGGGATAGAAAACGTGTATGCCAACACTTGAC